ATGTAAGGGAGAAGGAGAAAGAAGGCTGATAGTAAAGGGAACATGATAATGGATGATTAATCTCCTATTAGAAATTAGAGATTTTCTTGGGCTCAAATAGTGCTTGAAAGTGAAACTACTAACTACACTAAAAGCTATGACTTGAAGTATAATTGTAAATGATTCTCAACTGCTACACAAAATGTGGTGGTGATTTGTTCAACATATTTAAGGACTTAAACCAAGAAAAAGGTACCAAACATAGATACAGAACATTAGGCAGTCTTTGCTTGGGAAATAAGATACAGAACATAATTAGTTAACACACATCCACAAATAATGTCCCTTTTTCCGGTTGGATGAGTGCTGATCAATTGATTACTGGGCATTCTTTTCCATTCTTTAAGCAAAATCCAGTAGCATAATTCATTCACCGCTCATTCTGAAGAGTTTGTTGCAGGGCTAGGATTGGAAATAACAGTAAGGCACGAAAAATGGCATATTGGATACATTTGCGACTACGCTGATGTTATCTGCATAACACGGTTTATTCACAGTGTAGATCACCATGGCTAGTACATAATTAAAACATTAAGCTGTAAAAAATGGATATCCTAAACAGGTGGTTTTTCGGATTCACATTTAGTCATATTTTGTACAGCATTATTCCACAGAAACTATGACTATTATGAATGTATACAACTTTCTACAAAATTCTGAACTTAGTAGTTTGGTTCACTATCCCCAGTTTAGTTGGTCGACAACTCGACATAAATTCACCATTAAACTCAAGCCCTTCATAATCATACAGCGAATGATAAATTAGTCTACAGGTATCACAAGGGAAATCGACGTAGTACAAGACATGTTTGTTAAGGGAGACCGGATTAGATAATTTTTATCTAGTGATTCAGGATTGGGGTGTAGAGATTAGAGTAAACTAATGTTTGTTATGTTTCACTTACTCAAGATAAGATTATCATCATAATTTATTTTATGTGTTTGTTTTCCTAGTGAACAAGATAAGATGGACATTTACAAATGTGTCCCTATGATATACTAGATTATTTTTTTTCCCTCTCTTCCTTGTTGGCCTCATGTACCAGACCTGCATTTTTTTATTTTTCTTATTTTTTTTTTGCATGGCTCATTCCTACAGCTAACAGGTTTGTCTCTTTTTTCTTTTTTCCTTTTTTTTTCAATATTTCAATTTTAAAAGTAAAATGGCGATGTATTGAATTAGTAAAATGAATAATGATAGAAATGCAATTTTTGAAAAGTATGGAATTAATAGGCTGGGATTATAGTTCATAAGATGCGAGCAACAGAAAAGATAATAAAAATAGGAAGACTCTTCATTCTCAAAAAATAGAAACAATCAAAATATTTCAGAGTAGAATTGCAATGCTAAAATTGATACACATCTACAGTGGACTCTTTTTTTTTTAGAAACCCCAACTAATAAAATCTTATGGGATGTATTCAGAGAAAGTTTGCCGGCATGAATCGATCTTCTCTCCAGTTTAGCCCACGCCTCATTTGTCTTCGTTATAACCTTAAGAGCAAAATCCTGTATAGCCATAAAAACAAGATTAAACAGTGAACATAAAATGGGACAATGTTTTTATAATTAACAGTTAATAAGGTTGGATTAACAGTTAAATATTCATATTTTTCAACATAAATGCCTATTTTGAAAATGAAATGTCATACTTAAAAAAAAAAAAACTAAAGTATACAGTTCATAACAAGAATTATGGAATTTGGACTCAATTTGAATATCCACTTGTGCTGAGATCCAATTTCCAGTGACTAAATAAATTCTGAAACCCTAATGAACTCAGGTGCAAATATCACACAATTGTCTTGAAATAAGAATATAAAGGTTACTCATATGTTCTATACATGAAACAAGACTGATGAAAAATCCTTTTAAAATATCTCAAGACACATGAATCAATCTCAACAGTAAGATTGGAACTTATGTTTTGTAGGTTGGATCAAAATTGTACATACACAAATATACACTAACAAACTATTGAAAAATAATNGAAATCTGCACACCAGACAACAACAATGCTCGGAATTAGCTGATAAGTACACATTCATTATAGAAATAAAAATAATACTCATTTATATAAATCACTGCTGCCATATGTTCTTCATTTCTCACTGCCTTTGACAATGTCTAGCGTCGACTAACCCTGAAATTTCCCGTTTCCTAATAGAAATGCTACAACAAAATGATGCTTTGTTTTTCCTTCACATAATTGCTAGTTGCTACATGTCCCTAATACTAATTGGAAAAGAGAAATCTCAAATCACTCAAATCATTAACCCAGAAAAATGCATTGAATACCATTCCTAAATCATTAACCACAACAATATTCAGAATCAACTAACCAACCCCTAACTAACTACGAAAAACCAAGAACGCAACTTTCCGAATAAATTCAATTAATCCAAAGAAACCAAAAAATTCCCAATTACCAAACACCAATTAAATCCATGATGATAGTAACATAACAACCAATCTCGAAATTTCATCTACCTTCTTTCCGACATTACCGATGAAGAACACGCGATAGTCTAGGGTTTTGAGCTGGCCCTTTTCCTGAATCTGAATTTGGGAATTGTAAATCGCCCTGCAACTTAACAATCACCTCTTTTGTATCAACGACCCATGGTTGCTTTTGAGGCTGAAGCTGAGAATCTGAGACTTTTCTCTCAGCGAAGATCTCGTGAGCAGGGTGACGCTATTACTCTCGTGGCCTTGCCGATGAGAGAGAAAGCTCTGTGGACTGCATTTGTGAAGATGTAATGTTAATGGTAGAAGAAGCAATTTTTGCATTAAGGGAGGTTAATTTGGTCAGTAATTTTTACTTTAAGGGACAAGTTTGTAATTTCATAACTTTTATACTGTGCAGACAAAAGATATCTTACCCCCAAGGCCAGATCAAATTGTCCCTGTTTCCCACGATATTTTTACTGTGCATCGCGGGCCTTATTTAATCGTACGGGCCAGAATTAATCAAGGGTAACAAATGTAAGATTATGGGTGGTTGATTAGAGGTGTAATCTTGTCCAGGCATGACTAACAAACGCGCCCTTAGGAGTTGGTAATAATCAGGGGCGTAGTGAGAAATATTTTTTGCCTAGGCTACTAGAATCGATTTTAGTTCGCTCGTAAAAAGTCAATCTTAACTAATTCATATAATAAAACATAAAGTAAAAATTTAATTCAAACGTGCGGAGCTTAATTGATTACACTCGATTTATTAAATAATCCGAGCAAACATACTCATTTATTAAATGAACACAAGTTCAAACACGGTGTATTCGACTCAATTTGGCTTCAATAATAACAATAGTATAAAAATTCTAAGTATGGTATTTTCACAAGTATTTAATGTAAATTACAGAACAAATGAAAAACAAATTATTCAAAACATTTTTTTTTCCAAACACCTAGGAGGGTGAAGAGTTAGGTCAGATCCCCAACCTGTATATATAAAAGGCCCTAAATGGGCTGAAAAGTCATAAATGTACAAGTCCAATGTCTGAAATACAACAAGTCAAACGAAAAGCAAAACCAGAAACAAAAAACAAGAAAACAATAAAAAACTGGCAACAGCTGCCAGTAACACAACGATAACGTCTCCAAGCAAATCAGCGTCACGAAGCATCACGAGGTAAGACCGGCTACACAAATCTGAATGAGGGGAATCTCATCTGGTCTATCCGTATAAAGGTGCGGAGGCGGAGAGAAATATCGTCAGGATAAAGTGTGCGAGGATAAAATATGCGTCTCTGGTGGGTGGAGGACCCGATGCCTGCGAGGAAGTCTGTAGGACGTTCCCCTCACGGAAAGATGTGCGAGATCTGAAAGCGAATCGACCGAAGCGTGGCCCTAATACGCATGAGCGGATGCTAAATCTTCCATGTGCACTGATGGATGGCCAGTAGTCAAGAGAGGGATGATAGCAGCAACGTCCAACTCTATTCTAATGTGAGAGGAGATCGAGGCAGCCATCTGAAGGCCACTTGAATCTCTACGTTGTAGCTCAAGGAGGCCCAAAGAAAGGGCATGAAAAGCGGTATAAGAGCACCGCTATGGTCCCTGATCAGACCCCCACCTCCGGCGGCTCCGGTAAGTCGGTCAAAGGATCCGTCAGTGTTTAGCTGAACCCAAGGAGACTCGGGTCTCAGCCAAACAACAGCTCTGGGGCATGGATGCTGGACATGCGACAATGGAGGTGTTGCAAGGCGGTGAGGAGACATGCAACCTGTCTAGTCTATCTAGGTGAGTGCCCAAAGCAGCGAGGAGAATGAGATGTCGGTCAACCTGCAAAATAATATGTTATTCCTATACTTCAAATTATTTCTTTCTGTCCAAGGGGCCCAAAGGATGGAATAAGGAAGTCCACATGTCTATCGTGTGTGCTGTGTCTGAAAAAACTCAAAAGCTCAAAGAAATTATTCAAAACATGTCATGTTGTTTTAGTAAATTAAAAACACCCTATGTTACTATTTTTGTAAACAAGCGAGTCCTAAAACTCCTCTTTGCCACATGCCTGCTTCTGAACCCAAAAAACAGGCGCCACCCTCACGGGTGGCGTCGACTAAATCACAGACATGTCTATGTGGAATCCGACGGCTAAGAAAACGTCAAGAACACGACATGTGACACGCATAATAACATTCGTGATGCGTCCATATACTAAAAAAATATCAGTGCAGTCACGTTTTCTTTTGGTCAAATTAACAGCTCACTATATATGAACATCATGCAGTCACGTTTTCTTTTGGTCAAATTCTTCATTATCTTTTGTTGCAGACTTAGTATGGAGATGCATGCCGCCAACGCGGAAGAAGCTTCAATACAATGATAACAACTATGGACAACTCTTCAGAAGAATCATATGCATATAGCTTTTTCTAACAAGGAAGCAGACAGGAATCTAAAGCCTCAAGAAAATACAAACTTCCCAATCAGTATAAAAAATATAAAAAAAACGAACTCAGCTTTCGACTTTTGTTCTCGTAAATCCTCCATAAACGACGCTAACCGGAAATTTTTTATGTAAACGTCTCCACGACTCACTAGTAATAGCATTTTTCTTACACAGAGCATTGGCAAGCTCCATGGCCTCCACATGCCATCCCGCGAACCCAATACCTTCAATTACAATATTATACGAACTCTCGTTCGGCTTAAAACCCTTATATATCATATCCTCCAGCATCAAAACAGCCTCGCTAATCCTACGGGCTTTGCAAAGCCCAAGAAGCACGGTATTGTACGTAACAAGTGTCGGCAAAAAGCCATTCCTTTCCTCCATTTCCTTCAAAAGCTCAATCGCCCCATCAACCATCCCTTCGCGGCACAGACACGAAATAAGCGAGTTATACGTGATGTTATCCGGGTCAATCCCGTTTGAAATCATATCAGAGACGAGGCCCAAGGCCCGGTCCCGATCCCCATTGTTCCACAAAGCGCTTATCATTATGTTGTAAGTGGTAACTTTATGCGGGCCCCCGTTTTGCGAGAGCTTAGAAAAAACCTCCAAGGCCTCGTCCAGGCTCCCGTTTTTGCACAAGGCATTGAGAATCGTGTTGTAGTTGACTATATCCGGGTAACACCCGCTCGAAGCCATATAATCCAAGAGCCCGATAGCGAGATCTAATCGGCCCATTTTACAGAGGGCAGAGATTAACGGGCCGTAAGTGTGAGTCTCGGGAGTTAAGCCCTCGTCTTTCATTATCCTCAAAAGGGTAACAGCTTCGTACAAATGCCCGTCTTCGCACAAAGCACGTATCAAGAAACTGTAAGTGAACAAATCCGGTTCACACCCAGCCGAGAACATTTCCTTTACTAGTTTCCCGCTATCACTCCATTTCCCCTGATCTAACAGGGCTCGTAACAGGACATTGTACGAAATCACCTTCACCTCGAATCCTCTGCTTGTCAGGTCTCGGATGAACTTGAAGGCCACGTCCATTAGCCCTTCCCGGCACAATGCCTTGATTATAGTGTTGCACGAGCACGAGTCAGGCTGCAGCCCTCTCTCGAGCATTTCGTCGAACAGCTTCAAGGCATGGTCTGTTTGGCCTTGGAGAATGGTGGCCTCGATTATAATGGTGTACGTGATGACTGTCGGCAGGAGACCATCCTCCATTAACCGATCCAGCATGCTCATGGCTCGATCGAGCTTCCCCCGGCGGCAGAGACTGCCGATCATAATGTTGTAAGTGACAACGTTGGGCGAGAGCCCGCGGGCCCGCATCCGCTCCAGGATCCGATTGGCCGAGTCGATCTGGTTGGATTTGCAGAGGCCGCTGATGAGGGCGTTGTAGGCCAATAGATCGGGCTCCCCGTGCCTCTCGAGAATGCCCATGACCTGGACAGCTTTGCCAGGGCAATTGGACTCGAAAAGGCCTTGGATGAGCCTGGTGCACAGGATGACGTCAGGCTTGTGGCCCGAATTGACCATGGACTTGAGGAAATAGAGGGCCTCGCCGTACTTTCGGTCTTTGCAGGAACTGCCAAGGAGCTTAAGATAATCGTTTTCTTCGAGGCCGCTGTAAAGTGGGAGGTGGGAAGGCCTGGCGTCGGTCGCGAAGTCGACGGGCAGTGGGTTTCCGCCATTGCTGGTCCGGCCGTTGGGTTCGTGTTTGGCCGCGCATCTGAGGACGGAGCTTTTGTGGGGTTTTAGGGAGCGGAGTTTGGGCTGGGCGAAAATGGGAGATTGAAGAAAGGAGTCGGCGTACAAATGCGCAGTCATCAGTTGGAATAACTTGTGTGTGTGGTGCTCACTTCTCGGTCGATTAACGAAACATGGAAACTTCGATCTAATTGGGAAGAACGATTTCCCACCGTGCACACCAGGGATTATGGTTTTCTTCGGATAAGGTCCCTCAAGCCTCAAGGTACCATTCCACTATCAAATCTTTTATGTTTTTTTTTTTTCCCTTCTAAAATGACGTACTTGTAGTAATAAACACTGTAATTACTTACTATTAGAAAATAGTTAAAAATAGCATATTAAGTGAGCTGACATAGTTGAACTAGCGGGAGGCATAGATAACGGTAGCGTACAGTCAAACACAAACAAACACAAGCTAACACCTACGTGAGGAAATCAAACACTCCAATAATGGAAAATACAACACCAAGCAAACACAAGAAAATACAAAACAAACACAAAAATTGTTGCGTCACTTTTGTCACGAACTGGGTTGAACCGCCTACACCTCGAACTGCTTTTGTCTTTGAGCTCCAGTGACCTGCAATATGTTAGGAGGGGGTCTCAGGGGAAAAACTTTTGACGCTCAAGTCAGAACTCGTTCAATAACTGCGTAAAAGAACGTATGAATTAAGACATAGAATGCAATGACTATGATGGAGAACATGTCACCTTTATAAAAGGTAGTTGTCTTGGTGTCTAAAAGAATCCTTGTTAGGCAATAGATCTAACTAGATCGTATTTCTTAACTTACCACATCTCTATTTAAGAAAGTATCATCGAGCAAGTGATTTTTTCCTTCTTAGTAAAATTCTTTTTCACTTTCTATACAACCCTTAGGTCCTTAGGCCGTAGCCTCGACATCCTAACTTACCTGTTGTGGCTTACCGAAGGTCGGCTTTAATATCGAGCTTCTAGAGGTCGGCACCTTCAGGTCGTGCTCTTCAGGTCGGCATGTACCTTAAGCTCGAGTTCAAGCTCCTTGATTGGATAACTTATTTCTGGATGTACTAGAGTTCTCCTAGACCAGTATAGTCAAGCTACCTGCTCAAGTCATTCTATCGAACTGTTCTGAGTGCTACCCTAAAACAACTAATTAATATTATAAAACCTCCATATCTCCCAAACAACATTCTACCGCAAACGTCCCTTCAAACCAAAATTCAAAAAGGACCAAAACTAGACGGACGAGACTGTAATCAAGACATAAAGATTTGTGAACTTCGAAACAACTCAATTGACTAGAAAAATCTAGGAATTGTCGAAATGACACTTCTTCGGGACTGTCTAGAACCTCCTTCATATCTTTGGACAAGTTAAGACTCCGGATCAAATCCCAACACCCAAGAAGTAAATTGAAACCGGAAACCCTCAAATCCAGGCCGAAAAGCTTAAATCGAGGAGGAGACTGACGGAAAAAAGATGAGGGGGATGGTGAAACAAAGACTTGTAATTCTCACACATAAAATGTATTTATCGAAATTCAGTAAAATATGGTACTCTCACAATCAAACAAACTCCATATCGTTGTGCAGCTAATATTTATATTATTCTATTATTGTGGACCATATAATTAGTTTGACCTAATTGAATTAATAGTCAAACTTATTTAAGGTGAATATGTATTAAATGGATTATTTAATGTTCTAATATTAAAGATTCCAATTTGTGATGTTTGACTTGGACATTAAGTTAAGTTAGAACATGGGGAATGTTAATAGGAATAGGTTTGTAGGACTCTTCCTATATATACTACATGCCCCTCTCTCCCATCTCATACGAAATAAAGTTCTCAACATCAAGGGCTTTGTGAAAGGACGAGAGACGCGGGAGAGAGAACAGAAACACACGATTGGCGATTGGCAATTGACAGACTGCAGATCAACATTATAGATCAAGAAAACAGGAAAGGACTATAAGCTGGATTCTTGTAAGTTCTATGTGCAATTTAATTAATGCAAAGATACATATTCTATAAATTGATAGAATTACATGCTTAGGGTTTATTCAATTCCGCCTAATAGTTAATGAATTTACCCGTTAAATTTCTTACATGTGGTATCAGAGCATGTGTTTATGCATAATTAAGTTGTCCATTAAAGTTATGGCAATCTGGCCATATGAAATTTTTATGCCCGCTATGAATTGCTTTTGTGAATTATTGAGATATGTATCTAAATTAGTTGAGTTTTTCTGTTCGTCTTTGACTGCTTGGACAAGAATGGAAATTAAACATTGATTGTTCAAATATAAAAGAGTGTTAATATTCACCGCACCCACTTTTACTATTTACCGCACCCTCAAAATACTATTTTGCCCTTATTAAAAAATAATAATAAAAAATTCAATTTTTAATTTTTTTTTTTAAATTTGGCCAAAAAATATATTACCTTATAAATGTGGCCAATCTTATATGAATGTTATAAACTTATAACACAAAATTCGAAAAAAAATTCATAAAATTCGAAAAAAATTAAAAAAAAAAAAAAAAAA